CCAAAAACATTCATCGTCTCCGGGCTAACCTAGAACAGTCATGATGTTGGTATTGGAATGACTGATGCTCAGTTTTAGCAACTAGAACAAGATACGATCGATTATGGACCTTAAAGCTCGAGTGTAATCTCCAACAACGACTTCCATACTAGATTTGCATGTTGCTAAAACTAAGTGTAAGTTCCTAGTACGAGGAACACAAAATACCCCGCCTCGGGAAAGTTACGCTAAAGACCCTGCATACATAAGTGCCCGATAGTCTACATCGTGCAGAACGCCATCACACCTCGCACGCCTTGTGCACCCTACCACTCATCCACCGGAAAAATATCTGGCTTTCAAAATATTGTAGTTTGTAGAATCATCTTCGTATTAACTTGGTCATTAATCTTCAAGCGAGGTTGACAGTTCTTCCGCAATCATTCTTTCAATGAACAATTCCGAATACTAAACTAAGCTTAAATAAGTACCAGCTCGCACCCCGTTTGTTGGGTCGAAGATTCCCTTAACTTAGAATCGTTACTTTAGACGATACCACCAAGCAGCAAACAAATAATCGAACCATCAGGTCAAAGAAAGAGTCCCCAATGTCTTCCAATCCTGACTCCAGCTCTCACCCCCTCATCCTAACCCATCCTCCCCCACTCAATCCAGCCTGGGAATCACATATCCCTCATCTCCCAGCGCCTAGTACCTCCACCTCCCCCGATGTCCGCAGATCTGTATACAGTCAAAATTGCATCAATCAAAACACCAGTCTTCTCCGCACTTCTCTTGTTCACCTTACTCAGAACCTCCTCATAAACTCTTCTTCCATCCCTTCACCATCCGGCCACGAGATCCCTACTCGCCTCTACACTCCCACTTCCACCACCAACTCCGCCTCTGTCCCCAATTCAGATTCTCAACCGTTGATCATCTATTTCCACGGCGGCGGTCTTTACGTTGGCGATCTCGATTCCGAAGATCTAACATGTCGTCAATTGTCCCTTTCCCTTTCCCTCCCACTCCTCTCAATATCCTACCGCCTACTACCCTCTTTCACCGCCGACGATGCTGTCTCCGATGCACTATCCACTTTCACCCATCTCTGTACTGAATTCCCATCCCGAAAATTTGTCCTGGTTGGGAGTTCGAGCGGAGGACAGTTGGCTGCTACAGTCGCTTTAACTTTCCTTCAAAAGGGAGACGGGATTGAGAGAGAACGAGGAATGCAGATACTAGGAGTTATCTTGAGATGTCCAGTAACGTGTGATGCTACAGATAACGGGACAAGTATCCCAGAGGAATGGAAAAGTATACACACGAGTATGAATGAGGAGTTTTATACAGGGATATTAAACAAGCCGGCTGTGACAAGAGAAAATAGAGTCAAGGGGTATAAGATGCCTTTGGAAATGTTGACGGAGATGCCGAAGCTCACTGAGGCATCCAAACCTGTTGGAAACAATCAAGAAGACATCAACACAAAATGGTTCATACAGCTTTGTACTAACGATATATATTATTCTGACGGGGTATGTCTTGCGCTTGGGTTGAAGGAGAGAGGATATAGTGTGAAGATTCGAGTAGAATTTGGATGGCCCCATACGTTTTGGTTGAAGGGGATGGTATTAGAAGAAGCTCAGAAGACCGAAATGGAACTGGTTAAAGGGGCGAAGTGGGTTCTGCATAGACCGGGGGGAGCTGACGCCAAAGAAGTCCAGGGACAGAAAGATTGGGTGGAATGGAGTGAGGAGGCCAACCTGTGAGAAGGTTTGAATAGGGTATCTCAATATTCGTGAATAGTTTAACTCGGTTATGAAACGCTCGTACATTTAATGACACTGATACTTTGCTTTTCCAATTTTCATTTCTCATGACTCCAGGAGTGATGAATATGATATACATGCAGTTCCAACACCTTACAGGTTTAATTTGACGACTTTTTGCAACAGCATTCAATCAAAACAATAAAATTCATCAGATCTTCAAGAGATTGAGGAAACAGTTTCATGATTGGCCAACTTGGCACTTAAACGATTAACCTCCATGATCTTGCTTCTTCAATCACCGGTCCCTATCTACAATAGTGCGGGTAACAAAGAAAAGGGAAAGTCGAATTTATTCCATCTAAAGCATAGAAAGATCGCCGAATTTCTCCTATAGACATATTATTAGCAGCCGTATCATTCTAAAAAAAAAAAAACAGAACTATGCAATTTCAAACGTACCTTGTAACCTGGAACACCCCAGCGACCCTTGGAAACGAGTTGAGCAGTCTTCTCATCGATGTCTGGGCGAGCAGCAGCAACTTCATCCTATAGACACACATCACACATTAGCCAACCCCATTTCTTTCCTTTGACTTTCCACATCCTTTCCTAGAGCTGATACATACCACAGTCAAATCCTCAAATGGTCTAGCCTCCTCGATGTTCTTCAATGTCTTCTCCAAATCCTTCAACTCCAAGTCAACTCTGCCCTTGGTCTCCTCTGCATTCTTGATAGCTTGGGCTTCGAAAGTCTCGATTGCCTTGATTTGTCTGGCTACATCATATGTGGCTGGCTTGAATGTAGAGAAGTGCTTCTCAATTTCGTCGACAACGGCGGTGTTCTTGAGGATCGACTTGTAGTGTGCGAAATCTACTTTGGTAGGTTGCTCAGAGAGAGCTTGAACGCGGCGACGGGCATCTTCGTTGCGCTTCTTGAAGGCTTGGAGGGAGGTCGCGGTGGCTCCCTTGAGTCCGAGGGATTGGGAAACTTTGGCCCAGTCGAGTTTGAGGGCTGCGCTGCGCTGTGAAGGTAGAATGGTTAGTGATAATCCGGACTCATTAAGGGCGAGGAAGTGGAAGTCGGGGCAGAAGTCTTCGGAATTCTTCGGAGGGGTGCAAAGTCTGCACGACAGCGAGGTCTGGGGGATAAAGTTCTGCTGGCGGCAGTATGACTTCAATTAAGGAAATTGACTTACTCCGGCTGCCATTGTGAAGGTGTTGATATGATTAGGGAGTGGAGAACTAAGATGTGTTGAATTCGTCGTCAAAAAGCTGCAAGTCTCGGTTCGAGCTAGAAAATACAATATCACGTGATGCTACCACAACATTCAGCCTGGTGAAAGATCTCCTAATTTACCAGTATCAAACAGAATCTCGATTTTGTTTTCCATTATGATTGTTATTGTTATTTTGCTGAACTCGTATATATATCAGACGTTTGTTTAGATGGGAACAATTTTGAAAAGATTTCACATTGTCGCGAAGTCACATTTCAAATCGGTGAGTATAAGTAGATATCTATGTATATGAAGGTGACATGGTTTAGATTGGAGTTTTACTATTTAGCACTCCCAAATTCATCGGGATGTGTGACTGTATGCCCACGTAATACCGTTGCCACGCATTCATAGAAGTCGACCCAGAATAGCAATACACAAAGATCCAGCTAAGCAAGCTTAGACCTATATGCTTAGAGCCATGATGGAATTGACTATATCGTTGTCATTCTCCTTCAATGCCTTTACAGCCTTGTTGCGCGAAACACTGGCTTGAGTCATGACTAATTCAATATCCTTGTCCTCGAGTCCAGTGGCGTCGACCTCCTCTGTGTCATCCTCTTCCTCTTCCTTCTTCTCCTCGGTGTCAACAGCCTTGCCCTTTCCGTGATCGTGGGAGTGGTCGTGGCCAGAGTGATCGTGGCCGGCGTGATCGTGGGATTCTTGAGCAGCCAATTGTGCGGCAGCAGAAGCTTGAGCTTGGGAGTTAAGGTCCTCAATCTTGGCCTCACCGAAAACACTGGAGAAATTATTAGTCCAAAATGTATTTTTGGAGTGCGGGGTAGAAGCTCCTTACATGTAGGTGTTGCTGGTTGGGGACTTGTAAACCTCTGGCTGGTTGATAACAAAGAGGATCTATAACCCGAGATTTGATCAGTAAGAAGTCTTAAGGTTATCCTCAAATGTTGTCAAAGCTACCCCGCGTCTTTGAAGCAGCTGCAAAACACCAGCCCTTGATCGCGAGAGCTTCCTTCATAAATCGTGAACTGACAAACCAACTAAAAGTTGCTTACGTTCTTTGGTCGTCTCAAAGTGACTCTGGTAATACCAGGGACTCTTGTAAGACCGAGCTTAGCAATTGACTTGCGTGCCTTCTTCTCGTTGCGGGAGAAAGCGACTTGGGAACCTGCTGGGATACCAGCTACCTCCTCTCCCTCTGCCTCGGAGTCAGAGCTGTCGGATCCCTCATCCTCTGCGGTAACTTGTTGCTTGGTTGGCTCCTCGTTATCTGGGAGTTCTTCGATACGTGGGTTCGACATGTTGGGTGGTGGTTATGGCTGTACAAAGGGTTGTTAGAAATTTTGATGATATTGTCGTTGTTTTGGTTTTCCGAAATTTTGTGCGTGCGCTAAAGAAATTGGGGGGCAGTTTCCTTGTACGGCGGAAAACTCCACCACAACAAGGCTGATGAACATTGTGAACATAATGGTATTCACTAACCTGACTTTACAAGAAGACGATGATATTAGATATTGGCTTAGAGGATCAAATATTGAGGTTGTCACCAATGCAATTAATTAGGGTTGTGAGAGTTCGCTAAGTATTAGGTAATCAATGTATCTACTCCATCTGGCTGAGATTGGGCTGGGGCAATTCTGGGGGTACAAATTGTTGTAACGACGTCAGACTGGGTCAAGGTGCATTCAATATCATTTATGGTTGTGGAATTATTAGTATCAATATCTGGAATTGTCCGATAAAGCAGTAAATTGGCTCCTAATTCATTGTGCAGGAATAGGTTCCGCATCTCTCATGTCGAGGATATTTCAAAGTTCCAGAACCAAAATCACAATCAAAATAACGCCCAGTATTCAGATCTTGGAGAGAATTGGTTTGGAGGTATTTTTGAAGTCCATATGCTCATTACGCCGGTCAAATTGACGCAGGATACAAAGCTCAGTTAAGAGCAAAGGAACCCATCAACCCTTATGTAGTTTTGCTTGCGCTCCCAAATATTCCATTACCAAATCTATGCCGCGGCGATCTTAGCCCTGGCAACCTTGACTTGGAATCCAGCTCTCTTCCTCAATCTCATAACCTTAAATCGCTCGAAATCTGTCAAAGCAGCTCTCTTGGCTTGCTTCTCACGCTTCTGGGCCCATGGGCTTTGTTGCCACAACTTCTCGATACCGGCCTTCTCCCACTCCTTTTGAACAACACCAGTGCGCGAGGCTCTTGGGAGACCCTTGAGGACGAGAGGTGTGAGGACGACATTGGCGAGGGAAATGGCTTGTCTTGGGACAGCTGCGAGTTTGTCGGTTGCTGGGCCATCGATAAGAGCCTATTTTTTACATGTCAGTTTTCTTCCTCTTTCCCCCTAGCCTTCACCAATTGTACGTACGCGCTTGTGGTCGATGATCTCAACGATCGCGGCAAGCTTGCCATCGTGTGGTCCACCAGTTACGAGGACGACACGGCCGACCTCAACCAGTCTCCAGGAAGATGCTTTGATATCTGCGTCACCCATTGTGAAATCTTCTGAAAAGAGTGTATTAGTTGATTGATTTCTAGAAGTTCAATGAATCGAGTAGATAATTAAGGAAAACGTACGGGGCGTCGTTGGCGAGGATTTGTCGATGTTTAGTTGTCGATTACTTTCAAAAAATCCGAAAATCGAAAAAGTGCGGCATAAGATCTAAGCGAAATGGCCCTAGAGATTTACAAATCATGTGATAAGTCGGCCGCATTTTTGGACTTGTGGGATAAGGCTAGAACCAGATCGAATTAGCGTTCTTTTCGATGGGTTCAAAGCTTTTCCAATGATGGAACTTCAAAAACTTATAAAAAAATTCTCCCAATCAATTTCTTCATCTTTCTTCTATCTCATAACCAACAACCACAACAAAAACACAACAAGTACTTGAGTACTTTATGGCTTGAATTGATTGATTCTTGCTGAAATATGTCTCTTCTTGAGCGATTTCCTGCACATCTACAGGTATAAGGTTCGTACATTAACATCTCTTCAACCTCTTCTTTCTCTACCTAAATGATGAGATAATTTGCGATTGACCTCACTTCGATGGCACCCTCGCCGGGGTCGCTATATCATGCGAGTGGATGAAATTCATTCTTACATATTCTGATTTCCTTTACATTATGATCATTTATATCTTGCTATCATTTTGATCGAACGCTCTGCTAACAGTTCGAAGTATCAGGAAGTGCCTTCATTGATCATTTTACTATGACCAACTTGCTACACATTTCACCCCGCCAACTAACACAGATCACAACAATGATCTCGACGTTCACCTCACATGGTATGTTCCAATCCTTCTTCGCACAGCACCCTCCCTATCCTACTATGATTAAGAAAAATGCACTGAAAATACTGAACTCTTCGGAGTCATGAAAATTCAACTTAACCAAGATCTATGAGCACAACAAACTTCCGTTCTTACTACTAGTTGCTTCACTTCTAGAATCTCTTGCTAATCAGCTCAAAGCTTAGGAAGAACTTGACGACACACATGAAGGATATTGATGGATTGTGCCAAACACCTTTCGAGGCATCAACGGACTCTCCTAGGCGGTTGGACTCTTAATAGAAGTAACAATCGTTCATGTGCAGATGCTTGGGATCTCGATGGAGGCATCATTAGATAGATTGGTACATTAAAGATAATCAAATTATATTTACTACTTTACACCTTTACTTCACATGACTGACTATTGTACAACTTTCTCCGCTATACCCTGCTGGCTTTCGATCTACTGTTTACGTGCACAATTCATCTCGTTCACGTTCGCGACAACAGCGTCGACCTGTTGACGTTCTGTCTCCTTTTCGTAGTTCGGTGTGTCCTTATATGGCAGAATCATCACACTGTGTACCTGTGATCCATATCGATAATTTGTCATCAGGCAGTCCTAGCATTTCATTTCACAAGATACAATCGGAAGATATTCCAACTCACATCTCTCCTCACATCTATCATCAACTCCGCATCAGCTCCGCCAAACGAAGAATCCTCTCTATATAACATGCCAATCTGATCAATCATGATCACAAGATAATGACAAATTCGTTGACCACAATCTGACTTCATACCAATCTCAACGTCTCCTTTGTACTATTCTCAAAAAGTCCGCTATCATAACGAGCATCACATGCACCCAAACATTGGTAATCTCTTGTGAGAGTATGATTATATAGGTAACTAAACAAACGAAAATCACTCATGGCAAATTGCGATATTCGGTTCCACCAAGTAACAAAAAATATTGCTCAGTGCCACTCTTCACGCCGGTATTTTGATGGTTCCTTAGGTTGGTGTAGAAGCCGAGCTTTTGTTTCTATTCTGTGCCGGGTACTGTGAGTGAAAGAAAGAGTAGTATTTGTCAAGTTGGATTGCGAATTTGGATTAGGGTTGTGAAATAACCATCAGATCATGTTGAATTATTAGTTCATATCAATCAACTACATTTCGTAGTATCAGTTATTGTATTTAAGATGGTATAGTATTAAAGAACATTTTGATATCAAGCAATTGACTTAACCATTATATCAAATCCCCATCCCTACTTTGGGTGCATTCATGATAGATTTGCTCTTGCTGCTAGTATCCACAAACTTATTCCGTTATCTTTCATGACACTCCTGAATTCCTCGAAGTTCTTGAGGTCTACTGACAGCTGCTGCCTCCTCCAAGTCTCGATCGAAGTAGAAACATCTGCGCAGAAACACTACTTCGTCTCTGCATTGATGTTTCAGAATCGACTTCTTCTGGAAGTCCAAAGAGCTCACTGATGAGTTTAGGCTTTTTTCCCGCAAAGATTTCATAGTTATAGTACTAGTCAACTGCTATCAGCCGAAATCCATTTTCATATCAAAAATCGATATTTTGCTATATTTTCAAATTCAAAAATCTTTATGAATAAAAATTTAAATTTATTGAAACTTTATTTTTATAAAATTTATATAATAATAATTAATATTTTCAGTATTTCAAAAATCTGAGAAATTTCTAATATTAAAATTTATAAGATTGAATTAAAATATTAAAAAAGTTACTTGATTTTTGTTTATTTTATTAGTAAATTTAATTATTTTGAAAATACTTCAATTTTCAATTTATATAATATAATCAAAAAAATTATAAAAATAATCAATCTTATTTTTATTAATTTTTTTATAAAAATAAATCAATTGATATAAGAAAACATTTATATTATATAATTTATTATAAAGAAATTTATAAATATAAATAATAAGTTTTGATACGAAAATGTATTTCGACTAATAGCAGTTGGCACTTGCTGTAGCATTAAGAAGAGCTACATGCTGAAGAGATCCAGACCCGTGCTAGGAATAACTCTGCATCTCTTGTTGAAGAGCTGTCTGCTTCTACTTACACAAGTGTAAACTACTGATGAACATTCTCAATTCCATCAACGGATTTGATAATGAGCTCTTTCTTGTATGCGTTGCCTCAAAAGGGCTGACTTCCAACCGCAAAGGGCGTACAAGACAGTGAATCAACTTCATCTCATAAGGCTGACTTAAGTCAGATGGCGCTTTATGTTCACTCGTACCCCGCAGAACACTCAATACCAAAGAGCAATTAGAACATTCCGAAGCAACCCTTGTCTGGAGCTCAAATGGCTTCAGTACAAGCCGATATTCGTCTATGCAGTTTTCTACTTGCGTTTCGTTCTTTCGTTGCTTGAATCTCCTGGAATTGGCTTCATTCCGCTGTATTCTTTGCATTCCGAGGTATTCTGAGACTCATCTCGAAAGTAATTCTCACTTTCGCTTATCTGTGTTTACCGAGCAAGGTCTCCTAATGCTACAAGCTTTCGATTCACCGCGTGTGTTGTACCGGCATCTGTGTCCAGCACCCATCTCTCGACTTCATCTTCTCTTTCCGTTCTGATCTCATCAATGGTATCCTCATGATTATAGTTATGATTATGATTATGATTGTTCTTACGATAAACGTCATTCTTGTGATCATTATCATTCTAATAGATCCTCATGATCATTATGATCGTTATGATCCTTGTGAATCCTCATGAACATTATTAATTCATGAATTGAGACCCAACACCAAAGTATGAGATGAATGGTAGCTAAAAGTTTCCAGATATTTGATACCGATTCTCAACATCCTGAACTAAATTACAAGCACTGTTGATTTACCTCACAGTTCTATCAGAGTCTTCATTGGATTAGATTGCTCGATATTTCATGTCATAAACAGACGAGGAACTTTTACGACGTCCAATTTTGTCTATGGGAAAAGCTGATGGTGATATTTCATCCAGCCTAACTTGAAACCATGCCGGGTGAATACTGTGAAGCTATTACAGCATTAGAGGCTCCTATTGTTCTCGCTTCCGATTTCGAGACCCCTCAGCCAAAGATGCTGCATGACGATGATATAAAACTAGTGAACAGCATGATTTGACAATCCTTGGTTAAATTCTCTGGCGTAACACGTTATACAATATGGTCAGCTTATAACCACCGCTTGTAAGGATAGTGAAATGACGTCAAAATTATAATTTGAGTAGCATAATGTACCATTGATAAAATCGGCATCATGATGGCTGATTCATTTGAGTGCATAGTGTTCCACGATCTTGACATCCTCTCAGAAGGTATACCAGACACCATGGGAATTACATATTTGACCTTGCGATATTTCTCACGAACATCTAACATTCTTCAACTAAAGTAGACGGCTAGATTCAGTTGCGCTAATCAATTGATTAAGCTACTCTTTTCAAAGACATATAAATGTAATGAACAATATTTCTGAAGTGTTCGACGATAGGCAACCATTACTATTTGAAAGACGAGTAATACTTCGTAAAAACTAATTGAGTGAACCTCCACATTGGTTTTCAAGAGTCACAACTCAATTATGAGCTGTTGGTACATAACATATCTTGAAGGGTTCTTGAAAAGGGTAGAGCTTCCAGGTGGTGTGGTACGTAGACTGCGAGTATATAGAGTGGCACCAGAGGCTAGAAAATATGGCGCCAGTATTTCAAGAACTCGTATCATTAGTACCGAATACAACTTTATGTCTGTAATTTTACTCGTTTCTCAAGTGTACTGAACTATCCGTAAATATACCTCAGGTACAACCGCCATCTTAATTATCTAAGTACCAAACTTCTACAATCTTGCTTTTCCAAGCTCTAAATCTGCCCAATGATCTCGGTGGAACTCTACGTATGTGTTGCCTTTACCCTTCTCCTCTATCCATAACAATTTATCATCTGCTTTGACTTTATCGTGATCAACGCCCTGCTCACGAAGTGGTGTTTTATTCTGTTTGTTGTTATGGATTGGTACCATTTCCTTGACGATCCGGAGGAATACCGGGACTGCGTATTTAGGGAGATGTTTTCGTGTGTGTCTGTGATTTGTTAGTTTTGAATACATAGAGCTAGGAAGAAACCCTGGAAACAACTTACTTCAAAAGCCCAGCAAAGTCGAAGTTGTTAATGCTTGGATCGATGAACACAGCAGCACATCCAGCTCTACCATCATGGGAGGGTAATTGAACACCATAAACGATAGCCTCCACAACTCCGTCGTATTTCCCTAGTACCTCTGCAACTTCTGCTGTGCTAACGTTTTCTCCTTTCCAACGGAAGGTATCGCCTAATCGATCAAGGAAAAACCATCGCCCGTCATTATCTCGACGCAGAGCATCGCCAGTTCTGTAATAAAGATCTCCTTTCTTGAAAACATTGCTCTCAAACTTCTTACTCGTCGCCTCTGGATTGTCGAAGTAACCCGCGAATGCAGCTGTATTCGGAATCGCAACGATGATCTCTCCACCTTTCTCAAATGGTTCCCGAGTTGCAAATCCAGTTTTAGGATCTCGTGCAATGGCCCCAGAAACATCGTCTATCTTGACAGGAACATAAAGATCATTAAATTGCCATCTGGAGATAAGTCCATGATGTCCCACGCAAGTAGCCAGCCAATCTCCACGTGCATGATTGGTGAGTGCAAACACCCCTTCTGTACTGTTAAAAAACTCAACAACTTCAGGGACCCCGAATCGATCTTTGAATTTGTTCCACACATCTGGACGCATACCATTTCCATACATTACTCGAACGCAATGATCTTTATCCTGAGGAGAAGGAGGCGCAGCCAGCAGGTAGCGAGCTGTCTCTCCAACATATGTGAACCATGTTGCTTTCGAGTCTCGTATATCTCCCCAGAATTTCGAAGTGCTGAATTTCTTGCCGACGCAATTGGTGATTCCACTCATCAGGTTTGATACAGCGGTAATACCACCGGTTCCATGATACAAGGGCATGCAGTTGTACCATCGATCATCGTCCTTTACTGGGGACTTACCAGCTGCTCTCTACGGAAATTATCAGCAATCTTCGCGGTAATAATATCTTGATCTAGGCCTTACCCCAACTCCCGCCGCGAAGCCTCTAGCAACCTCAAAAGTACATCCTTTCGGCAACCCTGTAGTTCCGCTTGATGGTCAATTAGCCATCGGAATTTTATACCCCGGAAGGAACACTAACCTGGTATACAACAAACCCAAAGGCGAGTTTCCTTTGACTCCCTCCCTATAAATATCTTCTGGCCTTTCGGCATTTCCACTGCGTATTTCCGATAGCGTAGAGCTATCCATGAATACAATCTTTATCCCCAAATTCCCCTCCAACTCGTCTTTCTCAGCCTCAATCCTCCCTCTCAACTCCGCATCATCATCCACCAAAATGAGTTTGGCTTTTGGAACCTTAACGCAGTGGATTAATGCTTTCCCAGCCAGATTATAGTTGATCATTGCCGGAGCAGCTCCTATCGACCATAGTCCCAGCCAAGCAAACAAAAAGTCCGGAGAGTTTTGAAGGTAAAATGCTACTAAATCGCCAGGCTTCACGCCCTGGGAGAGATACCATTGACCGTATTTATTCACGAGATCATATGATTGTTTCCAAGTGTAACAGCCCTCTCGTGACCAGATACATTCTGTGTTTGGATGACGATGCACGCTTTCCTCGAACAGATAATAAAGACATAGTTTTTTGTTTTTCTCTAAGATGGGTTGTTTTAGTGAGAGCAATGTGGTTTGGGAAGGCGTCTTACCAGCTTCGGCGTACCATTTCATGGCTCGCCTCATTTTTAATTTCTCATTCAAATCTTTCAATATCGAATATTTGCCATCGAGGTACATTGCAGCAGCAGATGTGCCTGCTACAACTGCTGTTGCTATTCATTTTGATCAGTATGCTGTTTGGAGATCAAAAATGAAGCTGTCTAGAGTCGGCGATTGTTGAGAGTGACGTTTGTTTTTCAATTCATGTAATGGAGCCGGAAATGGGCTGTGTCTAACCGTGGCTTGACGGAGTAGAATGCGGGGTTTAGTGATAGGATGTGCTTACCGAGCGCCATAATGATTGGAATCAAACGCTGTTACTATACAAACAAATTGGTATTTGGGAATATCAGGAACTGCAAAAAGCTACAACAATCTGTGAAGCGTCAATAAAAAAAGATAAAACTTGGAAAGATGGAAGAACATTAAACAGAATCCCCTAACAAGTTACTACATAATGCTTTTCGTCGGTAAAGCTACCTAGGTATTTGTCGATCACCGAGGCAAGCTACCCCGGATTTCTGACCCAGGGCTGAATCTTGATTGGTTGGACTTGAGGCATAACTACGGACGAAACCTTTGCCGTCGCTCCTATCCGCCCCACCTCCGCTCTTTGATACTTCCGACCCCCGCGATACCTTCCAAAGCGGGTGGACAGAGACTCCTTGTTGGTCGAAACTAAACGTGGAGTTGGAAGTAACCTGTTTGACGCGTGTGCTACGAGATAGACTTGTGAATGGTTTGAACGCCACATTGCTTGCCAGTTTCTTTGGCAAACGTCCGAATTTCCATATCTGGATGATACTCGGGGATCGGAGGCTTGGGTGCTTGAAGAAAGATGGGCTTGGCGGGTTAATAAGATATCTGGATTCATTTGCGGAATCGTTGCTACTTTTGGTAGTGCACGGACCCACTTCAGAGGAAACGACAGCAATGAAGGGGCAATCATCATTCCTTGGTCAAGAGTACTAGATATTGAATTGAAACTCGCAATTCAAGATTATTTTCGAATAAAATACATTGGTTGGTTATTCGTCGTCTTCACTCACGTGAACATCAGTGCACATTTTATTCTCCTCTAGATTTTCAGAAAATATCGTTTGAGGCTATCCTTGGACAGTGTGAGAGTATTCACCATCTTCATTGGTAAACATCATGCGCAACTCGTCAACCAATTATAGAATCAAGATTTTCTGCCTCAATTATTTGAACCATTTTTCCACGGCTCTGAATTTCGACTCTACTTGTCTGTCAGATATCTACTCGAAGTAGAAGGGATTATGTTGAAATTTACTTACATTTTCCTGACTTGAACGTCCTTGATTTGGATGATTAGATGTTGACCAGTGGCTTGTAAACGTACCCTCCGCATGCCCTGGAATTTGCGGTGGACGATTCGTCTGCTGGCCTGTTGAGGACGAGACTACTACCAGGTCCGACGGTTCAGGTGACAGGGAGGAACGATCATATGTCCCCAAGGGTGGGACTCCATTGTTATCTGGATACATCAAATTCGAAGCTTGATTGTGCCAGATACCCCTTTGCTGTCGAAGCGACAGATTAGACCGCAATCCACCTCGAAAATCCGTCTGCGTTGCGGGTTGGTGAGCAGAATGAGGGTTCTGGTGTGATCTAATCTGAAGCTGGTTACTGTTCGAGTTTGGGGTTTCTGTAGGCCCCCCAGGATCCGGATTCATGCCCGAAGCTTGTACCTGCGAACTAGAATTTTCATGTTGCGGATTACAGTACCAGCCAAAAGGCCGATGACCCGGACACTTTTCTGCTTTTACTGCAAGGATGACCTGAGTTAGTTTTTTGCAATGCTGTCTCATAACTGCGAAGTAAGAGCAATTTTCTCCATAGGCAGGATGCTTCTCAGTGGTCTTCCATATCGAGCATTCGGCGGGGCAACCAGTGAATACGTCCTTGAACTGCCAACACATCTTTCATGGAATAGAGACTTCTGTCTGGTGACTCTCACAAATATGATATTGTGCTAACCCGTCCTATATCATTCGATTCGTGATGAAAGACGGTGTTATGAAAGAGGCTACATGGCGAGTTCCTCTACAATCTAGATCCACAAATTGATGATGAGTGTTTGATTATATAAAAGTAACAAGCACGAGAATTTACCAGCAAGTTTTGGGACACTGCTTTTAATACCGTGTCGTCTGAAGAACCAGCATCTTCCGGTGCCGTCTTATGATTAGAGGAAAAGTGTCCGAATTTCACATCCTAGCCAAAACAAGTGTTTTTTTAGCTACATATTTCACGTTGTGCAGCTATGTAACTTTGACTTTAACATCTACGTGGGTCGTTGTATACAATTCATGGTGGGACCACTAGAAGTTCATACACCATCAATTTAAAATCCCGTTCTCCATTTTCTAAAACGCAAAACTTCATACTAACCTGTCAGTTATGATTAACTGTTTCTGGCCACTGCTGAGAAAAGTTCACGTGTTGTAAATTCACTCACTCAAGCATCTTTTTCTTGCAGGACCTGGAAGGCCAGTTGTGTAGGATCGATCATCCAATCAACTACCTTCCTCAATTATTTATCCCATAATCTTCACTGAAGTGTCTCTACCCTGCGTATCTGACCAGTGACTTGGCTATAATTAGAAATTGAATGAGCCTCTAGTACTCCATCTGTTTTGAGTCCTGTTGATTTTCCTGCTTGAGCCCTGGACCATGTGAGCTGCGTGGGATCCACTGGTCTGTCCCCATTGTCATCATTGTGTCAGTCAGAGTTTCCTAGATTGTGTCTGGTTTGATTGGACGGGAGTCTGCCTGCACGGCCTCTACCCCTTCCAATTCCACCTTTTCCAACTCCGCGCCTTTCAGTTCCTCCCCTACGACCAGCGCCTCTGCGTTCTGCACCCCCAAAAACCCCACTTCTACATGCACAACCTCCACCTCGTCCATCTGCACAATCACATCTTTCACTTCCAGCCTCAGTTTCACTTGATCCAGAATCTTCGTTCAGATCACCTGGGCTGGGCTACTGGCGGAACGGGTCCTCTGGTAACTACTTACCAATTAATCTAGCCGTCATTGAAAACCTCATCGCTTATGTCTTACCTCCGAAACCTGCAGTTTGGACAAGGACACTCGGCCATCGATTGTATGTAGACGAACTGGCGGGAAGACACTCCACAAGGATGCATTATGGTGCCGTAAGTGCAAGGAGACACGCAGCGACACTCACGATAGCCATCAGGGCAGGATGCCCAAATATTTCCTAAATAATAGCACATTGTGTTTTCAAGTCAGTTCTGAATACACGAGGAGAAGATCTCTCGGGATAGTGAGATAGTGTTGAGTTATATAGTATGGCTGAAGAAAGGCTGTGCCCGGAGTAAAGGAAGTGGACTCTGAAGTGATCGTTTCAATTAACGATAAGTCGTTGCTTCCAGAACTCCCTTTGAGCATCACAGCCTAGGGATCATTACATTAAAGAGTTAGCTCACTGTACTTGGGTGTTTTGGACAGCCAAATTTTATATGTTGGAAGCAGATAATAGAAAAGAAAGATTTTCTAAAGAGAGGAACAAATCGAACGTGGTAGCGATCTAATGAAAGACTTATTCCAGAGCGATCTTTAGACATGCTGACCAAAAATAAAGATCTTGTACAACAAACACCTAGTAGTGACGAAAGAAGCTTGTCTAAGCTAAATCAAAAGGCTCAATCTTTCAAAGAACTTTCAACCTTCATTTCAGGGGGCTAAAATTCTAAGTAGACTATAGGAAAAATGAAAGGAATTGCTATTTCTATGATTCTCTATCACTTTTCAAAAAGAGATCGTAGATCTATGAGGCCCTATCATCTGTTCGTGAGTTTTCTCAGAAAGATGGTGCGACAGACTTTCGTGCAAAATCTGGTTTGTATTGTAGAGAAATCTAAGGATTGGCAAGATTTGGAGGTAATGTAATCGTGGTAGACCTTTCAAATTATATACATGATCTCATAAATCAGATACAACCATAAACTCCTGTTCTTTTTAGCTACACTAAGCACTTGATCATAATTTTCACAATTACGAATTCAATGACTTCGACTTCGTTAGCATCAACAAATTAATGAGAAACTACAAAACGAAAGCTCAATACGTACGTTGTGTATGTGTTCTCACAAAGGCTTCATATCAGGTCAATAGTCATTTTATCTGCATCTTGGAAGATACCAGTATCCTCGCGAACATCAAAGACGCCAACCCGCTCGTAATGTTCTGGTCTACGACTCGAGAGTTTGCACAGAAGAGTACAAATCCAAGAATCCGTTTTTGGTTTCGTCGTTGGATCTCGCAAATGCATAGTACCGACAACTACACAAATTATCTTGGTAGATTCATTGGCTGTATGGTCACTGTGAAAGTCATGGTAGAAGTCGAGACTTATTGTTATCTCGGGGGAGGGAACAGTCGCTGAATAGCTTCCGAAATTCAGCGTTACTCCGCGTCTCTTCGCAACTTTGCTACATTCGTGCGTAATTTCGCCAGCTACCCCCAAGCCTTGGATTCTTATTGTGGGGATATCTGTTTCCGGGAAATCAAGAGACTCTACAGCTGTTGTTGGTAAGTTTGTACTGATATAAGAGAAGCATTCGTGTGGTTTAAAAGAACTGTCCTGAGTAGCAGGAAAGGTTATTATTCCGCCATCATTGAAAACTGCCGAAGCCCATGACCAACTAGATGCAAATGCGGTCTTGGCTTTTGACGTACCCTTCTCATTTTTGGTATAGTTACTTGACTGGTGAGCCCCCCGTAAGGTCCAGAGAAGACCTCTAGCAATATCAGACTGCCAGAGACCAGCTAAGTATCTACATTTTAAGCGGTCCTGAAATGTACTTGCGACTCCAATGAGAGCTATGAGTCGGTCAGATGGTCGTGTCAAGCTCAACTTGCAGTATTCTTGAACTATATCAAACCATTGTTCAAATACTTTTAAGTCTTCAAGTCGTTCCAGATCAGATTCTGTTGTGATAGAATTCGCGTATAGCTTTTCAAGTCCCGTGCATTCGCACCTTAGGCCTGATTTACATTCCATTACTAGTTCCGATGGATGGAAATGGATTGTACGAGGAGCTAATCTCCGTTCTTGAAAGACCCAGGCTCGAGTCAAAAGTGGTGTGCCTATGCTGAGCACTTTGCGATGCCCTAAATACGGGTAGTTAGGTGAGTTGTACCGATGATGAATTTCCTCAAGTGAGGGCCTGACGAAGATGGAGCTCTGATTATCTATCTTTCTCAATCTTATGGAACTGATTTTATGCGATCGTATTGAAAGTGTTGAATTTTTGAGATGAAGTTTTCGGCGATAAAAGAAGCCCCCTCGGCTATCATGCGAACCAGTAGCCGCCAAGTTTAGGTAGCTGTTTGAGTACACGATGGCCATACGGGCGGCCTCCTTCTTCCAATCGTCCTGGTCATCTTGAATGATGCACAGACTGTCAATCCAAATATATCGAATACCAAGTGCTCTCACAATCGAAATGGCATCTCTAAACGTCAATGGCAAGCTTTTCCATGCAATGCCCTTTCTGTGTTGCATAAAAGTTTCTCTTTTAGTTTGTAGAGGCTGGTGACCTCCCCAGCAATGGCTGAGAGTTGCATAGCGCTGCTTGGAAGCAGCAGTTTCGGGATTGTGAAATGACGCGTCTGTCTTCTCGACCAAGACAACTATCCCCGACTCTCTTCTTAGTTGACAGACATCAAGTACCCTTGTTGGAAAGGCATTACCGTTGGTTCGGAATGCGCATTTTGTGTGCTGACTGTCGCAATTGGCGATCCATTCGCGTATAATTGATGCGCTTCTTTGAATGGAATTGAAAGTGGAAACATCCCGTGCAATTCCGAACGCTGATAGTAGTGCAGACTTTACATGCATCGCATTTTCTGATATTGGCGTTAGATATGACTTCCATCAATGAATTTATTGTGCCAAACCTTGAACAGATTTCGAATAAAATTCTAAATCTATGACGCCATCAACTCTAGGGCCGTTGGTCTGAATTCCAAAGCTCTCTAATCCCCAGTGTAGTAGTTTCGGTACCTTACGAGCTTTTCTGTTGTGGTAGACTTGAAGCTCGACCCGTAAGGAGCAGCCATTACGAATTATAAAACGGCCATTATAAGGTCGTGAATCGTCAAATATCTGCATTTTTGAGCTTGCAATGTGCAGACCTCTGAGAATTATTGAGCAATAATGACAGCCTGATTTTGCCGCACGTCGTACAGAACCAGACTGGAACTCGAGGCAATAATTTGGGATTAATTTCGTATCTAACTCCAAAACCCATTCCTGTCGTAGCTTTCCGTTGTGATCGCGGCTGTTCAGACATAAGCAGACATTACATGTAGCCGTTGAATCGAAAGTCATTTCCGCTAACGTCGATTCAACTATCGATTCGAAATAAATTAGCCCACTTCCTTTCTTTTTCATGATTACTGTATGGTATCTAGATGGGAGTCAAATGATTTGATTTGCTAACCTGATGTGAATATACCCTTCGTGGAAAGTACTCTCTCACGAAATGTTATCGGATCTTGCAGCGTATCTTTTCACTCGTGGTAAGTTTTCGTGCTGTCATTTCAGACTTCGATGCAATTTTTGCCAGGAGGCATAAGAATTGTAGATTCTGTAACCACTTCATGTGGTGTTCCTATAAGGCTATAGTCGCACATGAAGTCGCACAGCATTATCATAGTTTGTACTATGGGCAAGATTAATAGGTCAAAAGGGTTCCATTCATTTAAACGAGAATGGGTAAGTTTGTGAAACATTCTTAGAGTAAAGTATCCGCGGCCATTATGCGAATTTGATAGAGTAAGTTCAGCACCACGCGTTGTGCTATATGACTGCGAGTCTGGTGCTGAGGTAAATAGGCTATTTGTGCATATTGTTATAATACTTGTTGATAAAGCCAATTGCAAGATGCCAAGCTTGTGAGGTCCTGGTATTGACTCACTGGTCCAGAAGTTTAGCGTGTACACATAGATTTAGATAGCCTCCTATTTTTGTCAAGCTAATGAGACCTAATTACTTACACAAATCTTCAATAAAATCTAGGGGCAGTGTAATGGAAAGTATGATACGCTTGAAATTGTATATTGAAGTGAAAGGGGTGTCAGTAGTGTTGCCCTTTCTTCACATTTCCAAAATCCATCTGCTCAATTTTAGTTGAAGTAACATATCCCATTAGTGTTGTTGAAAAAATACAAAGACAAGACAAGGCCCTACATCGTGAAAGAGTTTCCTTTGGTATATCCACCTAATTGAACATTTTTGATGATACAAGCGGATCGTTCTGAAAGTAAATTAATATAAGTAGGCGTTTTGTTTCTATGATGCCCTTGAAAGCGAGCAAATGATGTAAAAACAGATCTTCATAAAAAGCTAGCCTTGGTGCTTGTGCTTTTCACTCAGGAATCTTCTACTCTCTTGGAAGATCTCTTTGAGTATTGACTTCCTTCCTTTCGATTATAATCTTCTTTCATAGTCAGACAGTGCTATAAGCCCCCAGGAATCCCAAAATGGATCAATTTCAGTGTCTTCGTATCGTCGTATTGATCGGTACCAAAAGTACACACACGTATCACAAAAAGCAATATTTACGACAGGTCTATTGCGTATGGAGAATGTGTTGGTACAACCTCATCACCTACGAGAGGTGTGCACCGCCTCCACAACGTCCACAACATCAAAGAGTAGCTCTTGCCAGAGTTTGCAGTCTTGGGGATGTTCCGAATATGATTCGTTGTAATGAGGTATTCGATGAAGAACCACCAGCAAGTGATTATTATCGGGCAAGAGATCTCACGATTCCGTGTCCCATGTGCGAGTAAATCGGAAATTATGTTCCCGAACTAATCTGTTCCTGAAAACTGACAAGTTACCAGGCAGGATTTTATCTTCGCGAAGCTTAGACCCAACCCAGGTAATGGAAGCGGCGGTGGGGTGGTCCAAAAACCTACTCGATGCCAACGATTCAAAGACAAATTCAAATCTAGCTCATCCGGGACGACATCTGGTAACGCCGGAACATAGACGTCTCGATCGACAGAGAAAACGGGCCCAGTTTCATCAGTATCACAGCCAACTAGACTCAGAGTAGCTTCACAGCGTGGTAGAAAGTGTCTAGAGTTAGACTAAAGTTGACCGAAGTCTTCAAAATGACTTGAATCTCAAGTTGCTAGTAAGCTACCATCTCGTTTCGAATTCCACGTTGAGCTGTGTCAATCTTGTTTCCCATTCCGAAGATACGTGCCTAGAAGTATCAAACATGGGTGAATCTCCTGAACAAGTAAAATCACAAAGCTCTTTCCATTATTGAATTACGCATGACAATCAAGATCAAATCAGCCTCAAATAGTTCCGGACACCTGATCCAGTAAAATCTGCACTTTCAGTATCTAAACATCGTCATACATCCACCAGACTTTTCATCATTGCCTCTATCTGACTTCAGACATAACTCTTCGTCGACGTGGACTTGATTTCACCAATATATGAGCTCGGTTGAGTTATCAATTTTCGTGAAGATGTATGAAATGAAGTATACCGGAAAACACCGCTTAACATAAGATTTCTCCTTTTAGCCATACTCATAACTGACTGCCAAGCCGTTCACTCGAAAGCTAGCACAATAAACTCACTCCAGCACACCATTTAGCAAACACAAAAACAACATCAAAAAACACCCCCAGCATCCCCAGCACCCCATCCTCCCCATCCCCATCCTCCTCCTCCACAATCCCCTCCATATCCCCAAACCCATCAATTGCACACCTGCAATAACCAAACCAAACCAAACCCCCAAACCAAACCCCCAACCCAGAAATCCCAAGCATAACACCCCTCTCCTCCCAACTCCACCATACCCACCAATAAACCCCAAACATCCGTGCCCAACCAAACCCACGCGCCACACCACACACGCGTACTTTTATCCGAACCTCGGGAACCTTGGAAACCACATCCAAAAATTGTGGCTCAGCTATTAGCTCAGCAATCGTAAAATTTCAAACTCTAATAAACGATTAATAAATATTTACTTTTTGTGAAACGGGTCGTTTGGGACCTCGGGAGTGAGACTTTATTGATGGGTGTCGATGTTGTGCTTGATGGCTCGGTGAATCGATGGATAGGAGATGAATGGTTGGATGAGGAATGGAGAATGAGGTAGTTTTTGTTTTCATTTCAATTCTTGGGTGTTCAGGTTGAGATGGGAGATTGATGAGAGATTGTATATTTGTGATTGGAATATTGATGGTTTATTGTTTATGTGGAGGGGGGATAATGAAGGGTGGTTGTTTGCTTGGAATTGGAACTTGGAATGCTTATTGTCTATATCGAAGTAGGACATTGAGAGCTTATTGTTTGAATTGAGAAAGGACAATGAGTGAAATTTCGAAGCAACTTCGATTGGGTACTTACCTAGAATTATGCCAATATGTCATAATTGTTAAAGCCAGAGAATCAAATCAAGTAAAGTCAAAAAATAACCAAATAACAAGAGATTTCTTCTCATTGTCCTATATAAATATACACTCTATCTCTCTATCTAAGTATTTATCTCAAATTATATACAAAATATCCGCCAAAATTACACCAAACCACATCATCCCCATAGGTATCAAAGAATTTCAGACTCAAAAATCTAAACTATCAATAACAAAGCCATGACCCCCATAGCAGCCATAATACTTCCTCGAACACTGACCTTTGAGACTCCAGAGTCCAAATAAGGATAAGCAGTGACCGCACTAGCATCGCTTGTTCCAGTCGCGCTATAGGCGCTTGGCATGGCGAATGTAAAAGTTTCGATGCTTCCAAGTGTAGAGGTGTCGATAAGGATACCAGTACCGGTTATCGATACGCTACTTGAGGTAATGGTTTGGGTAGAGGTAGCGTTGGCGGATGCAGATGTAGGTTTTGTGATGAAGGAGGTGGTTGCGTAGGTTGGGGTAAAGATTATTGGGCTGGTGGTTCCAGCTTGAGCGACTACGCTGGATGATTGAGGGACGGCGATGCCTTCGGCAGATGTGGCGGCTGGAGCAGGGGCAGATTGCATGGGGACCACGGTTGCGGTGGAGAGGACGACCGAGGCGTCACTTGGAATTGGAGTGTTGTTTACTGATGTAGTGGATGGTTGAGTGGAAGTGGCCACGCTCGAGCTTATAGCCTTGACTGGAGTTTCTGGGCAAGCTGTTTCGCCGGAAAGAAGAGCTCCGGAAGCGACACATGCTGCAGAAGATATGGCTGGGGTAGGGATAGCGACCGAGGAAACAATGCTGGTGATCTCACCTGAGAGAGCACTAGTGGAGGCAGCGGGTGTCTCTGGGCAAGCTGTTTGGCCAGACAAAAGAGCACTGCCAGATGGTACGCATGCTGGGGAAGATACGCTGGTGGTCTCACCAGAGCTAGCTCCAGCTGAAGCAGTTGGTACAGTACTATCACTCTCAGCAGATGCTGGAACACTTGGGCTTGAACCAACAGGAACGACAGTGCTGGTTCCCTCGGTAGTGACAGTGCTCCAAGCATATGCGGCCTCAGATGCTTGAGTTGTGTAAGCTTCTGGGATGACGGTAGCTGTTTGGAGAACAACAACAGCACTGCTGGTGTTTTCTACAATCGGACTGCTAACGGCAACTCCCAAAACAGAAGTCGAAGTAATAATAGGACTGCTGGCCACAGTGATCTCGGTAGATGAAGGTTGAGCAGCTGGGACAGTTGTTTGTGCAATTTCGCTAGTGGCAACAATGATAGCAGAGGAAACTTCACCTGGAAGTGTAACAGTGCTGTAGATTGTAGCGGCGGATTTAACACTTGTGATAGTACTTTGAATGGTTGTGGTCGAATCAACATTTGCGCTGGATGGTGAAGGGGTGGCTTCTCCTTCAGCAGCAGTGATTGGGCAAATAGTAGTTGAAAGAATAACAGTTTCGGTTACAACAGATCCAAGCTCGTCAGTGCGTGTGTTTGTTCCGTAAATGGTAGAGGTAGTGTGGGGGTATGGAACGGAAGTAGTGGTAAGAACGCCGTCGACTGAGGATTGCTCAATAGAAGATGTTGAAGGTAAAATGGTAGGATCGGAGGATTCTTGAACAGGAGATACTGAGGCAATACTATTGACTGTGGAAGATGCCTCTACTGGAGCTGTTGTGGGAATAATTGTAGCAACAGATGATACTGAAGCAATGATGCTTGCGGTAGAAGATGCCTTTACAGGAGATTCCGGGCAAGCGGTTTGGCCAGAAAGGAGGGCACCCGTGGAGACACATGCTGCAGAGGATAATGAACTAGAGGCGACGATCGATGCGGCTTCAGATGTGGCGACACCCAAAAGAGACTCGGCTCGAGCAGTCGAGCTAATTACTGGGCTAGCAGTAGTTGAGATTTTGGTTGAAGAAGCAACGATAGCGGCTGATGTAGATGAAGCACTATTCATGATTAGTATACACTACTTCTCCAGGTCTCTGAATACTTACGCAGCAGCGCTAGTAGCGGCTAAGGTATCATTTTGGTAAACTTTAACACTGTTGATGAGCCAATAAGCTTCCTTGTATGCTTCTGGGTTTGCTCCGACATAACTATCACAAGTAGGATATTTTTCTGCGTCATAACAAGTTGTCTCTTGCCAAAATCCAGTTTGTCCAGCATATCCTCCACAAAATGTTGTATCAAAAATAATCTTGTGGTTGGCGAATAATCCATCAATGTTGCAAACTCCTCCTTCGGTAGTAAAGGCAGGAAGATCCCAGGTGGATGGATCTGGTGTACCAGCAGTTATATCAGCTGGAATCGCATCAGGTCCAAAGTTCCACATTCTGATAACATCACTAGTCCATTGCATAGCATATACACCACCCCCGTTGTTGTTGAATGTCGTTCCGTATGAATTTGGGTCGGAGTTGGTACCAGAGCATGCAGAGGTAGCATCTTGGGCTCCGAATATGCTTGACGTAGCAGAATCATCACAGTTGTATGTTGTGACGTTATCTTTTAATTGAGTTGAATGTTGGTTGCCGGAAATATAGCATCCTTCTTCGGTATGAAGTGTTTGCAAGCTGACAGTCTTCTCGTTGATATTTTCAAGAATATCTATCTCTCCGTATTGTGGGTAATTAGTAGTATTGACGGTCCAGAACGCTGGCCAGGTACCACAAATACTAGCCGGCATATGCGCAAGGTCGGCAATGATCAAGCCATGAGTATAGGTCTCTTTACTTTGTATCCTAACACTGGGCCGGCCAGTGGTGACCACATTAACGTAGTCGACACCCATGTAAGCTTGTCCATTCTCGACCTTTGTCAAGGCTACACCAAGCTCGCTATTTGCATTTCCGGCTACTTCTTTAGAGGTATATGAAACGAATCCGGTTGTTGGGTCGGCTCCCTATGGTCAATATATCAGACAAATTCGTTTCCCAATAGTTCCGTTTCAACATGTATAATTCATCCGATAACAAGCCGTTCAAATCGTCGCACCGTCTCTTTACTTCCATCTAATTATCGACAGGATACTGTACGTACCGTATAAAAATCGAACATATCAAAAAAATTGGTTCCTGCATAATCATCGACTAACGTATACTTGTTCGTCGCGGAAACTTCACCAATGAAAGCAAGCGCCAAAGTGGCAGTGGAAACGATTCGCTGAATCATAATTAAGAAATTAAATGAAGAAGAAAAATAATGAGTGACTGGACGTAACAACGTCGAGGAATTGAAAAGAAGATGATTGACTTTCTCTCAGAAAGAATGATGAGAGTATGTCTTAAGCAATAAATGAAAAAAGAATGTATTGTTGTGGGCGACAACAACCTTTTGAACAAGGTACTACGAGTTCCTTTTTCGCAAAGCCACAACCTATCCAGTACCAACTTTGATGACTGAGGGGCTCAAAAAGACATTTCGAGACGTTGAAGCCATTTTCCTTATATGAGGGCCTGTTCTAAAGTGGAGGTCAATAGTCCCTAAACCCGATATGATACGCTGAAACAAGCCAAAATGGCTGGGGTTGAAGATTCGAGATCACTTTATCTAAGATTCTAAGGACGGATCAAGGGTAGAGTCCCTCTTTCTGAGCAGATCTGGACATAACGCCGGGTGTTCTGGATGAATTGGTTACGTGGAGATGAAAATTGTTGTGAATATATTAGAAATGTGGAGCTTTGAAGACCTTGCCCCAGTGTCTTTATCGAAAAACATTGAATATCGATTCGTAGAAATGATCTCGGAATTACTTGATATGAAGCCACCCTGTCGCCCCTGATTTTTGCTATAGTGGAGAATTTCTACTGTCCGCGACTATTCAACAGGAAGTGCAGGGCGTGGAAGTGGAAATTCATCCTAAGAATGGTACGCGCCTTTGGTGTGTCGTGCTGATTGGACGAATGTTTGGGATGCTTTTGACGCTCTTGATCTCGAATACCTACCGCCCTACCAACATGAAGAAGAGATGAAATGTACCTATGAGATGAACCGTTGGGTTATTTTTAGCAAAAGGATCCATTTACCTTCTCTGGTTCCGGAGAGGCAATTGAATTGCCAGCGATGTTTGTGATAACTGTGATGCCTGCACAAGCCATCAATAATATTGGTTCACATACTGCTCGTGATTTGACGCCCTTAACTCGCCCTACTCGCCCTACTTGCCCTACCTGCCCTGCTCACCACCAACTCACCTATGCGTGTCATGCCATGCTGAAAAACCTCTCAGCCACAAAACGTATCGTCAATCTATGATTGGTCACTCGATGTTGGCGGAAAGATCAAAATTTTGGGCTCATGTTACCTGAAACGTCGGTAGTTCTCGGATTCTTGGTGGTCGTGCTGAAGGAGGCTATTCGTAGGAGAAAAAACAGGCGGAATTCGACCATTTCTAAGATATCCTTTACAATTCAATTATTTCCCTTCAACATTATATAAAATAAAATTTCGAAATGTTTTCTGAATAATAAAAAGCTGATATTTCTTTTGATCTCTTTGAATTTATATAAATCATTTATAAATTATTTTTTATTCAATTAAGTTAGAGGATTTCAATGAAAATTTGAATTGTCAAATTCCGCCTGTTTTTTCTCCTACGAATAGGGAGGAAGAAGCTCGGTTGGAAATAATCTTCATGTCCGACAATCACGTGTTACTATGGAAAATTCAAGAACCTCATTAGAAAGCTTCAATTTCAACCTTACCAGGTACCTAGCTACAACGCTAGGCAAACGTCATAAAAAGACAGAAATGTATCACGTGATTGCCAAAAGATTGTTTCCGAGTCCACGAATTTTGATGTCTAACTGCCTAAGGGGAGATCAAGGAAAGTTTTTAATCTGACTATGCGAAATATCCTCCTCGAATCAAAAAAAGTATGAAAGGAACAAAATAAAGTAAACGAACGTTGCGACCCCCGTCAGTCGCTCTCTCCAGAAAATTCAACCTTTTCGACAACATTAATCCAGACCGAACACAATGCCAAATCAATGAATTGAACAAGCAATAATTTGAAACCCTCCAGTATCTCGCTATGCGGATTATATCTGTGGCTTTGACTCCATGGAAAAGATTCCTGCTGAGTCACAACTGCAATCGATGAATTCGTTGAGCATGATCCTTCACCTTGTCACGACGATAAAATTCCCTGTCACATCCGGGTTCGGGGCAAGAATACTCTGGAGCTTCATGCTTCTTCATGTGCCGATTGCAGTCACTTTGGCGTCCAAAAGTCTTACCACAACCAATGAAGTTGCAAGCAAAACGAGGGGCGGGGGCGACATGATTCGCGAATGATCCAATGAGGGGAGCTGGAGGCGTAGCTTGTTGCCCAATGAGAGCAGTGTTGATATCAACCTCTCCGGAAATCAATCCTTGTTCCGTAGTTGTGTTCGGTGCTGACACGAAGCAATCCGTTTCCTGGCCGTGTAAATTGATGGCCGCATCGATTCCATCCCAGAAACCCTGAAGATACCTATCATTACTTGAAATCGTGTTTGGCTCAAATGATGTAAAATTCTGAAAGTTCATGAACGGATCCAAGAAAGCGGTTGCTAAGTCGCCTGTTGAATTATAATCCCAATTCGGAACATTTGAGTGGTTGAATCCAGTTGGAAGTAATGCTGTCTGATCGACTCTCACATTGTCGTTCCAATTAAAAATGTCGAGAGTTTCGACATTGTCGTACAACACATTGTCGACTGGGTGTGTGAAGGGAAAAGTTGCAGGGAAGTGATCCAAAGAGGCTTCAAGATTATCGATAGGGGCCTCAGTGTGTTGATTGATCCCACTGAAGGAGGCATACTTGCGTTAGTTTCAAAAAAAAAAAACTTACGACTGTTCCTTGTTGGCTGCGGTCGACATATTTGCGTGGTATTGCAGGTAGGCTTCGGGCGGCCAATAAAATGATAGGGCGATGTAGGTAGGGCGGTTTGATGAGGCGAGTAAAACACGCTTTACCAGAATTCTGAGATTTGATTGGTCGGATACTTGAGAAAGTTCAAAAATTCAGAGGGGAATATCTTTCTTTAAGTATTTCATCGGTAGCAAAGTAGGATCTTACCACACTACAGACTCATCTGCATACAATCCCAGCAATTTTCAATTCTCAAAATTGTTACATTCACCCCGATCGCATGCTCTGAGCCCTTGAGCCTCTTTCATTGTTTCTCCTACTATGTTTAATTGTCGCACTAGAAATCAGGTCCTTCCTCACTTGAGTGTTTAGTGATGTTAAGATGACATCTAGCACCGCCAGTTTTCGGGCTCCAGGCATGTTTGGGTGCGAATTCTGTCCAAAGGTCCTGCCTACTAAAGGGTCTTTGAAGTGAGGCCATGCTCTCCATCTTCTCTATATTAAGAGCTTAACGTAGCTGATTATTGGTTCTAGTCGTCATCGGAACACTCACATACGACCATACAAGTGTGATATATGCCAAACTGGTTTTGCTTTGCGCAGCGATTTACGACGCCACGAAGGCAAGCATGGAAGTGTGGATCCACAATACATGTGCAAGTGGCCTGAATGTGACTTCAAAGGATCGGCACGGAAAGACAATCTGCTGAGGCATATGAGAAATGTGCACTCAGAAGTAGTTACCACTAGCGAAAAAGACACTTGCAATGCCAATATCTTACGGGATGCTTACGATGACGCCGTTCAAAATCAGAAGGAGTCTGAGAAAAGTCTCACTATTCTGAAGCTCGTGCAAGGTGGGAATGTTACTTCGCTCGAGTTGCTGCTGCACGAAGGAGGAAATGTTACGGAGACCACTGACACCGGAAAAACCGCACTGCACGTAGCTGCCTTTAATGGCCATTTGAAAATTGTCAAACTCCTTCTCAATAGGAATATCGAGCACAACGCGAAGGACTCGGCTGGAAGATCTGCACTTCATGATGCTGCTAGAGGCGGACACTCTCAAATCTTCCGAGAGCTCATTGCTGCGGGATTGAATTTATTTGATAGAAACAACAATGATGAAGATCCATTGTGTGAAGCGTGCCGCAACGGGCATCGATATCTCGTGCAAGAAATACTCGAAATGCAAACGCAGCTCAGGTCAAGAAATGACTCGCCATTAACTTCTACTCCGTTGATCACTCAATCAACATCCCACGAGTACCTTAATTGGGTCAAATCCGTCGGTCTGCAAAAATGCCTCAAACTGGCAATTGAAAATGGACACCGTGCTATAACCGAGGCTATTCTTTTTCAACACTTCGACAGCAACGAGGAATATCATCTGGCATATGCTCTTCAGAAAGCTGTAAGTATGCGAGACTATCAGCTTGTTGTCTCAATCCTCCAGCAAAAAGATCGATTAAGTCTGCGGGTCTGTTTCCGCACATTTAGACTTGCTGCTACACACAGAGATATCCCCATCATGAACACACTGTTTGAGGAGGCAATCCGACCCAAAGTCGGAGTTGATATGAAGAAACTGCGGATCCTGCTTCTACGGATGGCTGCTAGTGACAATGATGATGCAGTTCGATTTCTCATTGGAAAAGGGGCGAATTTAAATTACCAATCTGGTGGACATCGGATTACACCTCTACACGTAGCTTCTAGCCGTGGCAAATTGACAATCGCTACTGCACTACTTGAAGGGGGGGCTCACGTGGATCTCCTGAGTTCCAAGGGTACAGCGCTTTCCATGGCCATACGCAGCCGAGGAAATAAAGAAGTTGTCGCTTTATTGGTTGAAGCTGGAGCTAACGTCAATGTTTCCGTCAAATATCGAGGTACAGCTCTTCAAGAGGCTATTAAGATAGGAGATAAGGAAATAATTGAATTGTTGATCGAAAAAGGAGCGGATATCAATGCTTCTGCTAATATTTGGTCTGGCACAGCTCTTCAAGAGGCTGCTAAGAAAGGAGACAAGGAAATAATTGAATTGTTGATCGAAAAGGGAGCGGAGATCAATGCTCCGAGGAGTACTTATTATGGAAGAGGAACAGCACTTCAAGAGGCTATTATAAAAGGAGATAAGGAGATAATTGATTTGTTGATCGAAAAGGGAGCGGAGATCAATGCTCCTGGTAATCGTTGTTCTGGGACAGCACTTCAAGAGGCTGTTAAGAAAGGGGATGAAGCAATAGTTCACTTGTTGATACAAAATGGAGCTGAGATTAACGCTCCCGCTAATGATCGTTCTGGTACAGCACTTCAAGAGGCTGTTAAGAAAGGGGATGAAGCAATAGTTCACTTGTTGATACAAAATGGAGCTGAGATTAACGCTCCCGCTAATGATCGTTCTGGTACAGCACTTCAAGAGGCTGTTAAGAGAGGGAATGAATGGATCATTATAAAATTGATTCAACTTAATGCTGATATCAATGCTCCGGCTAATCCTTGTTCTGGTACAGCACTTCAAGAGGCTGCTAAGAGAGGGAATGAATGGATTATCACACAGTTGATCCAACTTGGTGCTGATGTCAACGCTCCAAGAACCCCAGGACCAGATTGGCACCCTAATCCTGGTGTTGCCATTCAAGAAGCTGTAAGAAGCGGAAATCAAACGATTGTGGATATATTGCTACTAGCTGGAGCTAATGTCAAAGTCCCAGCTAGCAAAAATTGTGGCACGCCTTTGCAGGAAGCTGTAAGAAATGGTAATGAGTATATGGTCAAACAGTTGATCGACCTCGGTGTTGATGTCAATGCTTCGGCTGTGGATTCATCGACATTTTTTTTTCGGGGTAATCGTAATCCGGAAATTGCAATTCGGGAGGCTGTAAAGGAAGGAAACCAGAAGATGCTGGATATGCTTATTCAGGCTGGAGCAGTCGACCCTGAGGAAGGTTAAGTTTATATGGTAATCGAAATGGAAATTTTCTTGCCAATTTATGCTCGTGACTCAGGACTTACATATTATGACTGCCTATGTCTCGTAGGCAAAGAGGTCTTGCGGGCTCTGTGTCTCAAATTGATATCTATGACAGATCATTACTCACGGAACAAAACTCTTCGCAAAATTCTCCCTGGGTGTCAGCAATATATCACTGGTGACTCCATCTTAAGATCTGTAGCAATGTTGAAGTGAGTCGTTGCAAAATGGAACTTATTGAATTCATAGAGACCAACTAGGTACATACCCAGGTAGCCCATTGATACAGCTGAACAAGGACTTTATGATTATTTCTTGGTCCAATAAGTCCCATCCGTCTCAGATCAGGCATCTCAAATATGAATAGGCAAATTGTATAAAAATTCAATGTATCAATTATATTCGATGACAAAGAAGCTGGTACGTTGATTCGGTTCCAATGGTTAAACCAAATCAGTGTACCACATATCAGCTATCTCCAATATTCCAGAATCCTTCTATGAACTTCTTTCATCTCAGACAAGATCGAACCAACTCACCTTCAGCTCTTTATCCCAGTAACACCAACGCGATTCTGGCGGTAGCACTTCATTTCGCTTTTCTTTGTTCGCGATTATTTGTCTCAGCCAGGATTATCTCTTCTTTGACTACACATGTGATAGATTCCCAGCAAAATACGACAAGATAACACTTTTCATTATCAAACTAAAGTTTTTTCAAAACTGCTTTGGGACAGGAAACTGTGCTAAAAGATCATACGCGCGACGATTGATTGGGAAAAGTCAAAGACGGAGATTTAAGCTGGCTAGTTCGAAATTGCGGAGCCTTTGTACTCTTCGCCGGCTTCTTTGTTAGAGCTTGAGGGCGCAAAAAGGATTTTGAGTAGGAGTGGAAGATAATTGGTGTGCGAGGCTTTCGTGGATAGATCGACGGTTTAGGTACGTATACTTCCATGCGCTGGGTGGTTTGTATCATCAAAATGGTTGATATGAGCCTTATGCAGGTTGATCAAAGCCTGCATCAATCCCACAGTCATATTTACTATTGATCTTCCACTCTAACTCGTCCCAGAAATCAAATGGAGTTACCAAATGCAAAATCAGCGCTTCCCAGCAAAGAATATCCAGGCCCACAGCTTCCAGGAACAACTCACGGCTCCATACCTTCTCGCCACCAACAAGAATCCGCAGCAGCTCAACGTGCCAGAGAATCACTCAGAATCAACAACCGAATCTTCAAAGGATACATCAACACTGAACTCATCCGATGTTGTGCACTCCTCACAACCTCCGAGTACGAACGAGCTTTAGGTCACGTGGAAAATGCTTCATTTCTTGCAGAGGAACAGAATTTTTTCTATGAGATTAGCAAATGCTATTTGTATCGAGGATTGTGTTTTATGGGGATGCAAAGGTGGAAAGAGGCGAGGGTTGCGTTGGTGAGGGGGGTTAATGTTAGGGGATGGGGTGGAAAGGTGGAGGGGTTGATGAGGGAGGCTCAGATGAGGATTGATGAGGAGAGGAAGAGGAAATAGGGGAGAGAGTGGGTGCTTGAGAATGGACTGAGATGAATTTTGCTGCGAGTTTGTGAGTTTGTGACCAGGGCGGAATCATGATACCACTGTTACATAGTAAATCTTTCTCCTATGATCTAGATTCATTGTGCACAGCTCACTGGGCATTGCTGAGGTTCATTTGACATTGAGGTCTGAGAATGTGATAGTGCAAGACCTCAAGCGAGGCTCGAAGCGGAAGTGTGTTAAGAACTCTACGCCTATTGTTCTGTTACTTCAGAAGCTACAGCATGTTTTCTTTCAACAAGACACCAATTGAATTGCCAGACTAGCGACATCTCTTTGTGATTGGGACTACAAAAAATAGTTATCTTGCCGGATGCGTCAAAAACAATGAACCGAGTTTTCCTTAAAGAGCATTCAATGTATTGATCCATGATTTAGAATCATGATGTGTTTCTAAACTCGACAACAACTGCAAGTTTAGATATACTGGTCTGTGAAAACCCTAGCTGACCTCACTGTACCCATTCAAGAAGATAGCTACTATTGAACTTAGTCACTATGGCAGCGGTGCCACCACCAGGTGACGTGAGTATTACCCCATGATCACATCCACAACTTCCAAAGACCCATCTAATTGATTGATACAGGATGATCGGTGGGCTCCGGGGTTTGAGTTACCTATCCAGTCCGCAGAGAGAGAAGATGAAAAAACGACCGACTCCAAAGATGACGATAAAACAGTGCCCTCGAAGAAAGCAGAGACCATACGAGGTACGGCCACTGTCAATCAACCTGGGCCAAACTTGGCTGAGAGACCTGAACAAGAAACCACGGCCGAATACTTTGCGAGCTGGGCCGAGGCGGAGAGGATGATGAGAGCCGATTTGGAAAGGGGGAAATTCACAGCTGAACAAGTTGATGAAATTAGAAAATTGATGGAGGCCGGTGTAAGTTCAAGTGCTACTTCTATTTCATGCAATTTCTGAGCAACCCGGTGGAATATGGATGGAAGACCAGTACTGATTATATCAATAGGCTATAAAAATGAAATTGCCATATAAAAAAGCACCCGGAGAAATGACCATAGCGCAATGGGAAGAGAAGGCCGCAAAACTCGAGGCTGAACTAAAGAACAAGGGAGCAGAAGGCGACAGGTACGTGGCTCAATTGATGGCGCTCCAAGACCAATTAAGACGGTCGGAGGTCGCAAATCTGGAGATGGAAACCCGCAATGCAAAACTCGAGAAAGAAAGAAAAGAGGCTATGGCTCAAGTTGATAAAGCCGCACAAGAAAAGCGCGACAAAAAGGATCAGGAGGAAGAAGGAAAAGAGGATGAGAAGAGGAAGGCAGAAGCTGAAAAACATGCAAAGGCCTTGCATGAGAGAGATGACAAGATTCGGGCACTCAAACAGGAAGTCGATGCCTTGTCTAAACGCGTAGAGGCTGGACAAGAAAAGCGCGACAAAGGAAAAGAGGAGGAGAGGAGGAAAGCAGAAGCTGTAAAGCATGAAAATGCCTTGCGTGAGAAAGATGAAAGATATCGGGCACTTAAATTGCAAGTCGATGCTTTGTCTCAAGGCATAGAGGTCGCACGAGAAAAGCGCGCCAAACAGGATCGGGAAGACAAAAGAAAGGAGGACGAGAAGAGGAAAGCAGAAGCTGAAAAACATGCAAAGGCCTTGCGTGAGAAAGATGATAGGATTCGGGTATTCGAACAAAACCTCGACGCCTTGTCTAAACGTGCAGAGGCCGAGAAAAAAGAAAGAGAAAAGGCTGCCGCCAAAGACAAAGACAAAGACAAGAGGGCCGAACTTCTGCAAAAACAGGCTCTCGAGAAGGACGAGAAAATCAAGAAGTTGGAGAAAGACTTGGAAGAGGAGAAACATAAAAATGACTTGGAAGAGGCCGGATATCACGGGGATGATGAGCTTAAAGCCACAATCAAGCGTCTAGAGCACGAGAAAAACAAACTCAAGGAGGAAGCAGCGAAATTGGGAGATGTGATCAATGACTTGCAAGAAAAATATCGGAAATTGGAGGTCTCAAATTTGAAACTCCTAGATGACGCTATAGAAGGTGAAGAGGCAGTAAAACAGAGGGACAATCTGAGTGTTGATTTTGTCGCGTTAAAAGAACGGGTCGAGCAATATGAGAAAGAAGAAAAATCACAAATCCAAAGAGAGTCCCTTTTGAATCTCGACATACAAACTCTTGGTGCTCAAGCTGTTCAGCAAAATACCAAACTTAATCAATTGAATGAGGAACTCAATAAATTTAAGGAGAAAATCACTGCGGATCAGGTTACAATAGAGGCCTTACACAAAGCAATAGATGGCTCGGCTGAAACACTGCGCCGGGATATTGCAAACGCTGAAGAGGAAGTTGAGATACAAAAAAGAAAATTGAAAGAACGAGACGTCAAAATTTCTCAACAAGAGTCAGAAATTGGAGCCCTGAGAAAGACAATTGGAGAGCAGGCACTGAAAATTAGGATTGGGACGCCGGGTGCAAGCCATGGAGAATTGGCCATGCAGAATCAGGCCATATTTAAGGAGAATACGGAGCTCAAGAAACAGCTGGAAGACATGCAAAAGAATCTAGGTGCAGAGGACACAGAAGAACTCAAGAAGCAATTGGAAGCTAGTCAAAGACAGTTAGAAGCTAGTCAAAAAGAATACGCTATTGTTCAAGAACGCGTAGAGAAGTTATTGCAGGAGCTCGAAGAGGTCCGAAAGACAAAACTCGGTGACGGAGCAAATGCGAGCGAGATTGAACGTCTAAAGCAAGAGTTAAAGAAGGCTAAGGAAGAGATTCAAGAGTTGACGCAAGATAAAAGGAAGACCGAAGATGAGATCACTCGACTGCAGACAGATAACACGGCTGGTACCAAAACGATTCAAACTATTACGGAACAGTTAAACAATGCCATAAGCGAGATTCTTCGCTTAAAAGATGAAAAAAAGGAAGATACCGAAATGATTCGTCATCTAAAAGAGGAAAACGAGGCACACCAGTTCGAGATTGGTCGTTTGAGGAGCCTGCGACCACAAATACAAGCTCACCCAGACCAGAAAGCATTGGAATTTAATAGAATGAAGGTTATTCATTACCAAGAGCAGGAACACCAATGGCACCTTGAAAAAGAAGAACTCGAGGCTAAAGTTAAGGAGTTGACAGAAATGACGGAAGCGAGTGAGGCTCTAATCAAGTTGATGACAACGGAGCAAGAGGATCTTCAGGCAGCCTTGGAGAAAACTAAGGCCGAACTGGCAGCCGCAACCACGAAGCCAATTGATACTGCGGGTGGGGATGAAGCACCTGCCGATGCTGCTGAACGTGAGCGGGTTCATGCTGAGAAAATCAAAGAACTTACGGACCAAAACAGCGCACTCTCCAAACAAGTTGTTGATCTCAAGAAAGAAATTGAGAAGATACGAAAGAGCCTTGCTGGAACCCACACAGATGCAGAAAAGGAAAAGCATCAACTCAACCAACAACAAGCACATGCCAGTGTTCAAACAATTCATATGTTGATGGGTTTCATGATTCTTCAACGAGCCTTGAACGGAAAGGTCAATGGTGATATGGAAAGAGTGTTGGCAGCAGTGGATCAAGCTAGACTTCAGGCGGAAGCAGTTGGTGATGAGAAGTTGATTGTAGAAGTATCGTACTTGGCCGCTATTGCTGTATACTATGACGGTGATACACCTAAAGCTCTCGCAAGTTTCAATGCCATCAAGGATTCCAAGGATTGGGATGATTCGAAGAAAGATCTCGTGAAACAATGGATTGCGCAATGTGAGAAGGGGATTGGTTGTCCAGAGGGAAGGAGCGGGTATAGAGAAGCTCTAGGACTCGGACCTGTGCCACCATCTCTTCGGGTTCCTCCGAAACTTCCCAAAGACGAAGAAGCCAAGAAAGCAAAGAAGGAAGCTAAGAAAGCAAAGAAGGAAGCAAAGAAAGCGAAGAAGGCAGAGAAGAGGGCAGCGAAAAAATCCAAGGCAGGGACAAAGCCAAGAAGAGCTTCAGTGCCTAAACGTCGTGGTATACACAGGCCCGATTTATACGTCGGTATCTTGTCGCCGAGACAACAACAAATTTGGGATACTATTGATTTTAGTGATTTCGATTACAATCATCTAAATACCGAGCAGCAAGAATTGTTTTCATTTTTCCCAATAGACTCTGAGCCTGAAAGCCCTCGACGACCAGTAGTCCACCGAGCAGCCGGACCTTCTAGTGAGGCTTCATTCCTCCCAGCTCGCCGACCAGTAGTTCATCGAGCAGCCGGACCTTCCAGTGAGCTTTCACCCCTGCCAACTCCCCGTCCACACTCCGGACTCCCACCATTACCACCTGGTAGTTCTGGTTCTAGTAGAGAAGCACCTCCTCCACCTCCTGGTCCACCTCCTGGTTCTCAAAGGCCACCAGGAAAACCTCAAAGGCCAGCTTCAAGCTCTGCCGCCTCTGTTCAAGCCGCCCAAGGTGTTCCAGAAGGGCCACCCAGTCGCATGAGTCGGCCTACTACAGATGCAGCTCTGCATATCCAGTACCTTGTTGCTCAACTGGCTGAAAGTGGAAGACGTATCAGAGAACTCGAACCTGCAGGCGACATTGTAACAAGTTTGACAGGTCGAGTGGAAAGGAGAGATAAACAGATCGAAGATCTAAAACTCTTTTGCGAGCAGGTAATTGCTGAAAATTTAAAGTTGAAAGGTGATGCTCAATAGTGTCGGTACAGGATCGTACCGGGGGGGGGGGGGGGGGGGGGTTGATATATCTCTAGTTTCCTTTTTTTTTTCAATAAGTAGGTATGCCTCAATGGAAACGGTGGATCGTAATTGTTCTGTACATTTAATTGTTATATAGTTAACTTAGAGGCACGCTCATATTTTAACCACACTTGTGGATACCTCTATTGCCACAACTTGCTATGAAGCATTGAAAAATTATGTATAAATATCATTTATCTAGAATCTATGCGTACATTATTACAACAGCTGGGTATGATCAT